AGAAACGAGGTCTCATCAAGCTGCCCAGGTGGATTTCGAACCCTCGGGCTCAGGCAATCCACTCACCTCAGCCTCCCAAGGCGTGGGATTACAGGCTGAGCCACTGAGCCCGGCAACTTAGGGTCTTTTTAACTAGGGTTTTTTTTTTTAAACTAGGGTTCTGATAAAGAGGTCATTTCCAAGTGTTTTGTTTTGTTTTACTTTTTGAGTCAGCGTTCTCACTCTGTTGCCCAGGCTGGAGTGCAAGTGTCACGATCACGGCTCACTACAGCCTCGACCTCCTGGGCTCAGGCGATCCTCTTGCCTCAGCCTCCTGAGCAGCTGGGACTACAAGCGCATGACACCGTGCCTGGCTACTTTTAAAATTTTTCGTAGAGACGAGGTCTGGCTGTGTTGCCCAGGCTGGTCTCAAACTCCTGGGCTCACGTGATCCTCCTGCCTTGGCCTCCCAGTGCTGGGTGAGCCACTGCGTCCGACGTGAGCCACTGCGTCCGACCCCCAAGTTTTAAGCACTCACGGCACCCCAGCTCCGAGCAGAGTGCTCAGTACACACCTCTCAGTGCTGAGTGCTCATTCATTCATTCATTCACTCCATTCATTCTCCAGCACCGCATTTCCCAGCCACAGGCACTACTCATCACCCCCGTTTTACACAGGAGGAAGCTGAGGTCCAGAGGGCTGTTGGCAGAGCAGGCCTGCAACTGCTCCCGGTGGTCTTGAGTCCCCTGTGCACCCGCTGCCCCCGGTTCACCACGCCCTCTCCCCTCCAGGTCTGGTTTCAGAACCGCCGGGCCAAGTTCCGCCGGAATGAGCGGGCCATGCTGGCCAACCGCTCTGCCTCGCTGCTCAAGTCCTACAGCCAGGAGGCTGCCGTCGAGCAGCCCGTGGCTCCCCGGCCCACCGCCCTGAGTCCAGATTATCTCTCCTGGACGACCTCGCCCTCCTACAGGTGAGCCTGGGACCCCTTCAGGCTGGGAGTGGGCGGCGAGGGATCCCGTGGGGCCTTGCAGGGCCCAGGCTCCTCTGAGGGTCCCAGGAGCCTGAAGGGTGTCCAGGTGCCCCCAGATCTGGGGTCCACCAAGTGGTGTGTGGGCGACTGTACCGTGAGTGCACGTGGGTGTTGTGGGAATAAGCATGTAGTTGGGCGTAGTGGCTCACGCCTGCAATCCCAGCACTCTGAAAGGCTGAGGCAGGAGGATCGTTTGAGCCCAGGAGTTCCAGACTGGCCTGGGCAACATAGCAAGACCCTGAAGCTATCCCCTAAAAAAGAAAATTAGCCAGGCACAGTGGCATGCTCCTGTAGTCCCAGCTACTCAGGGGGCTAAAGTGGAAGGACCACTTGAGGCCAGGAGGTTGAGGCTGCGGTGAGCTGTAATCATGCCACTGCACTCCAGACTGGGTGACAGAGTGAGACCTCAACTAAAAAAAATAAAAATCCAGATGTGTGTGTGTGTGTGTGTGTGTGTGTGTGTGTGTGTGTGTGTTTGAGTTGGAGTCTCACTGTTGCCCAGGCTGGAGTTCAGTGGCACGCTCATGGCTACCACAGCCTTGACCTGCTATGCTCAGGTGATCCTTCTACCTCAACCTTCCAAGTAACTGGAGCTACAGACGCACCCCACCACACCTGGCTAATTTTTGGATTAATTGTAGAGACGAGGTCTCGCCAAGTTGCCCAGGCTGGTCTCAACCCCCCGGGTTCAGGCAATCCTCTCGCCTCAGCCTCCCAGAGTGTTGGGATGACAGGCCGAGCCACTATGCCCAGCCTCAAGGTGTGTTTTTATTCCACCTCTATTCTACTGTGGGCCGGGCCCAGGGCAGCTGCCGGGGGCGGACGGGACTCAGATCCCACTCTCGGGGAAGCCCACGACCCCCCGGGAGGCTCCTTCGCCCCAGCCCTTGGTGAAGACTTCCCTGGAGAGCAGGCTGAGGTGGGGAGGCCACAGGATCGGAGGCCGGGGCCGTGGCCTGACGGCCAGAACCAGCCACCCATGTGTCCTGTGTGTCTTTTTGTCTCCAGTGCGGTGCCCGCCTACAGCCCCGGCGGCTCGGGCCCCGCGACCCCGGGGGTCAACATGGCCAACAGCATCGCCAGCCTCCGTCTCAAGGCCAAGGAGTTCAGCCTGCACCATAGCCAGGTGCCCACGGTGAACTGACAGCCGGCGCCCCAAGACCCTGCCACCTCCTGAGGCTGCCCACACCGGGGAGCGGGCCAATGGCCCGGCCGTGGGCCTCTCCTGGTTGGGCCCTCCAACCCCTCTCTCCAGCTGGACTCCTGCATCCCAGAGGCTGCCAGGATGCCGGCAGCCAGGCTCAGCCCCCATCCGCGGCCCGGAGACTGCAGCCCACGACCCGTGGAGGGGTGGGCCGGAAGGCGGGGCAGGAACCGCCGGGGACTTCAGTTACTTCATGTATTAAAACCAGAAAGCTTTTGTCTTTAAGAAATAAAACCATGTTTAAGCCCCACGAGGCTGCAGCGGCGTGGGTAAGGGCAGGAAACCGTTCTGGCCGCTGAGATGGAGCCGGGATCCCAGGCTGAATGCGGGGTGGCCTTCCGGGCCCTTCTCTGGCCTGCAGCCAGCGTGCGGACAGCTGGGCCCAGCTCGGGCCAGCAGCCATGGTGGCGCCGGCTTCCCTGGAGTGGAGTCTGTCACCCTGCAGAGCCCAGGGGTGGGGAGTGGGGGAGAGGGATGGAAACCTGTCCCAGACCCCGTCTCCCATCTCGAGACCCAAGGGGACACCCAGGTGCTTGGGCAGAACTTTGCTGTGTGACCCTAGGCAGAGAGTGCCTCCTTTACCCTCTGAAGGGGGCAAGGTGGGTGACCATGAATTTCTGGACTGGCCAGAGGGTAGGTGGGGCAGATGTGAAGAAATTAAGGCCGGGCACGGTGGCTTGTGCCTATAATCCCAGCACTTTCGGAGGCCGAGGCGGGAGGATCGCTTGAACCCAGGAGTTCAAGACCAGACTGGGCAACATAGCGAGACTTTGTCTCTACAAAAAATTTAAAAATTAGCTGGGTGTGGTGGTGTGCACCTGTAGTCCCAGCTACTCAGGAGGCTGAGGCTGCGGTGGGCTGTGATTGTGCCACTGCATTCCAGCCTGAGGAACATAGTGAAACCTTGCCTCTAAAAAGAAAGAACCAAAAAAGGAGCCAGGCGTGGTGGCTCATGCCTGTAATCCCAGCACTTTGGGAGGCCAAGGTAAGAGGATCGCCTGAGCCCACAGGTTTGAGACCAGCCCTGACAACTTGGTGAGACCTCATACGATAAATAAAAAAGTTAGCCAGGTGTGGTGGAGCATGCCTGTCATTCCAGCTACTTGGAAGGCTAAGGCAGAAGGATCGCCGAAGCCCAGCAGGTTGAGGCTGTGGTGGCCGGGAGCGTGCCCTTGTGCTCCAGCCTGGATGACAGAGTGAGACTCTGACTCAAAAATAAATAAGTAAAATAAAAAAACAAAAAAGGAATTAAATCCCTCACTCCTGGGCACACAGAAGACAGGGGACACCCCTGGGCACGTGGCCATGGAGGGGCTGTAGAATGGCGGTGCAGGCTGGGGAGCGTCCAGCCAGGCTCACAGGACAGCAGGGTGGTCCCTGACGGTTGAGGCCCCCAGCAGACCTTCTCTCAAGTCTCCAACCCACCGTTCACGGATGGTACTTGGGGGTGACAGAGGACACGTGTGCCACCAGCCGTCTGACATCACTTATGTGGGTCTGTAGAAAGCGGGGGGTGAGGGGAGCAGCCTGAGGCCCTCCCTCCGCCTGACCCGGCCGCCCCGCCAGGAGAGTCAGCAGAGCTCCCGCCAACAGTGACCCCAGTCTGGCCCCCAGGGGCTGGCCTACGCTCCCCCACCCCAGAGGGTGCAGAGGCGAGCAGCCTCTGGGCGGTGGGTGGGAGCCCCCGTTCTCGGGGAGGCGAGGTTGCAGGGGCCCATCTCCCGTTCCTCCCTGCCCGCGCCCCATCCAGGCACCCCCGATGCCGGCTGTGGGGTCCACGTCCTGGGGGTTTTCAGGCTGAAGCCAAACGCGTGTCTTGTACCAGGGACACGGTGTGTATGTGTTTATTTATTTATTTATTTATTTATTTTTATTTTTTGAGTTGGACTCTCACTCGGTCGCCCAGACTGGAGTGCAGTGGCCGCTCCTGGCC